GTTTCTAATTAGAGAACATTTCTTCTGGAACAAAGTTGGTTGGAATTATGTTTTTCAACTGCTGCAACATTTTAATTGATCTTTTGTTTTTGTTACACATGTCTCCTGTCATTTTGTGCTGTAATAGCCTGTAATGCTTGTTCTGTGTACCGCCTGTTGCCTAGATATGACTTATCCTCAAATTGACACATTGTGTGTCCCTTCAATATGCTCACCATGAGGAAACTCAGCTAATGAGCCATGACAAGCTCACCCCAGCACACCTAGCACAACTGTCATAGCATTAACTATGAAAGGAAGACAAATCTAAGACACATATTCAAATAAACATGCATGCAAAATAAAGCCTTGATGAAAATGAGCCAGCATCCCAGGGGACAACATCTGTGAGATGTTCCTATTGTTTTTCTCTCTGCTGGGTGACAGTTGCACAGTAATTATGGACACATTATATGAAAAACAAAATCTCAGATCAAATATCACACATACGTTTTTGGGTGGGATAAATCTTCACTGGGTGGCAAATGGAGAAGTGACAGGGAGTGGTTCAGTCAGTAGGGGATTGGACTTTGGACCGAAGGGGTCGACGGTTCACGTCCCGATTGGACCAAATAATACAGAGTGTGGACTGGTACTAGATAGGGGCCAGTTCACCTCCTGGGCCACTGCCGAAGTTCCCTTGAGCCTAACCCCCAATTGCTCACTGGCGCTAGACTGGCTGCCTCCGCTCTGACCTCTCAACTGCATGTGCATGTGTGCATATAACTGTGTGTGTATTTGTATATGTATGTGCATGTTGTAAAAAGTGTGTACTGTATGACCTGTATAAAAATGCATGTGTGTGTACGACAGAGTAGAAACTGAATTTCCCCCTCTGGGATTAATAAAGCTCCATCTTCTTCTTAAAAAAAAAAAGAGAAGTGAAAGCCTTTGTGGCTCATCTGCTAGTTGCCAGAAGCAATATTTGAGCACATTAATTTTGCTCAAAACATACCATAATAAATTGAATACAATTTCATTGTTGATAAAACATTTATTTCGTCGATTATCTCCGTTCAGTACTCACCGATAACTGTATCAGATCATTCAACTGTGATCCTGGACCTTCACTTTGATCATAAGCCTAAGGAATTTAGATTCTGGCGTCTTGACCCTCTTTCACTTTCTGATGCAGACTTTTGTGAGTGTATTTCGGAATCAATTGCATTCTTCTGTGAGACCAACCAAAATGAAGAGACCTCTGCGTCACTACTCTGGGAAACCCTTAAAGCTTTTCTTAGGGGTAAGTAAGATCATCTTGCATACGTCTCATGTTAATAAACTTCGTAGAGCACGCCAAAGAAAACTGGAAGAATCTATCATTAATCTAGACAACCAACTCTTCTCCACTCAATCACCTGATCTATTTAAAGAACGGATGGGGCTCCAAACAGAACGTGACCTTCTCCTAACAAGAGAGGCTGAACGACTCCTTCTACATTCACAAGGGTCTATATATGAACATGGTGATAAAGCTGGCCGTCTCCTGGCCCACCAACTAAAGGCTAGGGTGGCCTCGAACCAAATCACCCAGATTCGGGACGGTTGGGCTCTCTCACTTCTGACCCGGGAGAGATGAATAACATCTTTAAAACCTACTACTCTCGTCTCAACGAAGATCAGCTACATACTTTTTTGGATAAATTAGATATGCCCAATATTTCGAATAACGACCAACAGACACTAGATGCCGACCTGCAGCTCGCTGAGATTAAAGAGGCAATACAGTCTGTTACGGCTGCTGTTTCTGCCTGCTCGGTAACCTGTCTGGGATTGTCTGCAGCTGTGTGTGTGATAATGTAAATGAGCTGTGTGGTTGCCCCAACGTGATTGGCTGTCATCTCCTGGTCCACTTCCGAGGACACTGATTGGAGCACGCCGTTCTCAGGCTCGAAAATGACATTCCCAGAACAAATGACCATATCTTCCCTTCTAAAATGGTTACATTAATAATCTTTTTTCTCAAAGTAATGATAAACCTGCGAGTTGGATGTAGAAAAGTCAGAATCAATATAGATGTTTTTTATTTTAAAGAAAATTCAGATTGAACATAGTAAAAATCTGTAAATGATAGTGTCCGTCCAAAAGATATGTTTTACTTATAGTGAAAACTACCCTTGGATGATGGGTTAGTAGAATAAAAGCTTTAGGAATCCAAAGTACAACAGATAATAAGTACCCTGTATCAAGATTGATGCAAATCAAGTGACATTTGACATTTGACAAAAAAAAACTAAAGGCTCATGTTAAAACAAAAAGGTGGGGGTTTCGTATACCCAGTTTTGCTCCAGAGTGAAGCTGTCTCTAGGTCTGACATCTCAAAACTGAAAAGCAGATTTATTGCTCATGGATTATCAGAAATCATTCAAAGTGACAGACACTTGGATTAACCTATGGATTAACTTCAGCATCGTTTTTATCGTTGTAATGCCATTGAAGACCACTTTTGACCAGACTACCACACAGGTGAGCCATTTTGCCGTTGTTAGCTAACTAGCTCCATATGTTTTGATGTGTGTTCTTGTTATTATCTCCGAGAATTCGTATAATTGAGTGAAAATGACGGTACCCATCGATTCTGTGTCCCCTCGCGATGTGAAACGATGGGTTGAGATGTGCAGCAAAGATAAATAATAAGGTTTTGTGAGTGAATTTCGGTGCAGTCATCTGTTAGCATTTTTCGTTCGTTGCTAATTCAGAGGCTCAGCGTTAGCATTGTGGGGTTTTTTTTGAAAAAAAATTCAAATGATCAGTTAGATGAGTTTCTTTCCGTTACATGGATATAAAACATTCATAGTTTATTAAATGAACATGCCCTCGGACACTGTTTTCTGCAAGATATTGCAGGAGGCCCCCGTTACCGGGGTCTCTCGGGCTTAACAGTAAGGATCTGATTTCTTTAGATACTTTCAACTAAGGGATTTTGTTAAGACCCACTCTCCCTCGAATTCAAGAATTCAAAATTCGACTTCAATCCCCCAATCCCTGCCTCCCAGTGGAGTGGATCTTGTACTTAAAGCAAGAACTTTGTCTAGGCGCCATGTCTCTTATTTTTATGATCTTTTTTCTCCGGTTGATGAATCTGCCATTAACAAGATTAGAACTAATTGGGAAAAGGAACTACAGTTCACCTTCTCTGATGACTTTTGGAAGGAGGCCCTGAGAGCCGTTAACTCAGCCTCCAGTTGTGCTAGACTCAGCCTAATACAGTTTAAAGTTCTCCATAGACTACATTATAGCAAGGCTAAGCTCTCCATGATTTATCCAGAAAGATTGGATGACAGGTGTGATAGATGTTCCCAGGCCCCCTGCGACCTGACTCACATGTTCTGGGGCCTCATTTATAAAAGGGATATACGCTCAAAAAATGGCGTACGCCAGTTTCTATGCAATGTTTACGATTTATAAAATACTAACTTGACGGGAAAATGTGCGGTCCTCCACGCAAACTCTAACTAACCCATGTGCGCACTAAGCACAAAACGGGAGAGACGAGAAACTGCGACACCGTTGGCAGAAGGAAGAATGGAGAGAAATGTGTGGAAATAATACCATAAATAAAATTGTACCTCTCATTTATCATATATGAATAATTCATTTTCACAAATTGATTAAAGCCAATCTTAAAATGATTTAACAAACATCTGTTTGAGACTCCTCAGTGCACACTAGGGGTTTCACAACTACCAATATTTACTAGTCGACACGTTTTTCAAAATAGCAGTCGACTAGTCGTTACGTCATAATAAAGACACACAAAGAGAGGTGTACAACTGTATTTTATATCGGAACTCATACAGTTACATTAAACACTGCATTTTAATTTGTGTTACATGGCTGAGTAAATAACAAACAGTAACTGGACTTAGTAAATAACAAACAGTAACTGTACTCACCAAAATCGACAGCAAAAAACTCTGTTTACTGAAATGCCACGTAAATCCAGTGCGCAACAGCGCATTGCGCAACACTTTACTCGCTGTCCTCCACGATAACGTCCACCTTTCCAGATTTTTGGTTTGCGTTGAGGAACACCAACGCATCGAAGTTGAGTAAAGTTAGAACGATATTGGCAGATTCGGATTTCACGGATCAATAACTCATGAACAAAATGTTATTCAGACACAAATGACGTCTCCTAAGTATCGTGGTAAGGTTGACAACGAACTACAATCACATGTTGATAAAAAAAAAAGCCAATATGCGCCGTCCTCAAAACTGGACAAATTACATTGGTCTCTATCTGCAGCCGGAAAAGGAATGAGTGCTCAGGGACCGTCTGCAAAGTGCAACTCCGAAAAAAGAGAATACAATAATATTCAATAATATTCACTAGCGTCACTATTATACAGTGGAGTGCTACCAAACTCACTACACACATCAATAGTCTCCCGGTGGTTGGACTACAGCAGAGAGTTTGGAAGAATGTGCTTTTGAATAATTTTGGTGAATATTTATAGTGTAAAATCTTCAATAAATATGGTATAATCTTCAATAGCGTCACTATTATACAGTATATGTCTCTCACACTCACTACACACATCAATAGTCTCCTGGTGGTCAGACTACAGCAAAGAGTTTGGATGAATTTGCTTTTGAATAATTTTGGTGAATATTTATAGTGTAAAATCTTCAATAAATATGGTATAATCTTCAATAGCGTCACTATTATACAGTATATGTCTCCCAAACTCACTACACACATCAATAGTCTCCTGGTGGTTGGACTACAGCAGAGAGTTTGGAAGAATCTGCTTTTGAATAATTTTGGTGAATATTTATAGTGTAAAATCTTCAATAAATATGGTATAATCTTCAATAGCGTCACTATTATACAGTATATGTCTCCCAAACTCACTACACACATCAATAGTCTCCTGGTGGTTGGACTACAGCAGAGAGTTTGGAAGAATGTGCTTTTGAATAATTTTGGTGAATACTTATAGTGTAAAATCTTCAATAAATATGGTATAATCTTCAATAGCGTCACTATTATACAGTATATGTCTCCCACACTCACTACACACATCAATAGTCTCCTGGTGGTTGGACTACAGCAAAGAGTTTGGATGAATTTGCTTTTGAATAATTTTGGTGAATATTTATAGTGTAAAATCTTCAATAAATATGGTATAATCTTCAATAGCGTCACTATTATACAGTATATGTCTCCCAAACTCACTACACACATCAATAGTCTCCTGGTGGTTAGGTCCCCAACACATTATATCATATATTTTGCATTTAAAAGGTCAAATGCTTATTTTTAAAAGCTTGGTTTTACATTTTTATTACCCTCTACTATAAAACATCAATGTTATTTACCCAGGATATTCAAAATGCTAAATAATTAGTCTGATTTTAGCACAAGTAGGCCAAATTGTTGTGTCCCAAATCATGTTTGCTCAACTTCTCTAACAGATATAAACAAAGAAATCAAATTCTACATTTTTGTCACTATTGTATAACCCTTTTATTAATATTCCTCACCAAATTTAAATTGTTGTTAATTCAATTTTCTTGATTTAATTTTTTTTTAAAGTGTGTGTCCCCTGTTTTAATGTCCCCCCTGTTACTCTGATTTGAATCCCTCTGGACACGCCCCTTTACTATTCTACTATTTGTATGACTCAAGAAGAAGGATACATTTTGAGTGGGAAAATCATCTTCAAGAAGCAGAGTAAGTATGCACTCTTCCTTCAACGATTTTTTAATGTTTTTAACGAACTTAACTATTGCGGTAAAGCATAACATGTCCACCCTGTTATGCTCATTTTGTGTGGAAACTGATCAAAATGTTTACATTTAGAAAAAAATGTGAATATATCTATCAAATATCTTTCTCTGTTGTCACAAGTGCTAGCTTGATTATCATCACACATGTAGCAATAGCCAAGTTTAGCATGAAATGTCCACCTTGTTACCGTCTACCCTGTTACTATTTTTCACAGTAACAGGGTGGAATTATTTAAACATAATATCCTGAGCTTAACCAAAACATGTTTCTTATACTTTAACAAGCCATCATTCAGATTAAATAAAAAAAATTATGTTTTTTTATTTTTATTAACCTAGCTGAAGTTAGTTAGTATTTGATCAACTGAAATGTTACTGAATTAAAACTACAAACAAATGTTATTTGTTCCTGTGATGTAATATTACACATTTTAAAATGACAAATGACTATTTTTGCAAACCAAAACAAAAACCCAACTTAGTGTTACATATTTGAACACAGTTTTTTATTATATGTGCTTCTAAAAAGTTTACTTTTTATCTTTTTATATTGAGAAAAACTATTTCGCTTTGCCTTTCCTCCTTTAGGTTAGAGGAAGTTTGAAAATAATGGGAAGAGTTAAAAAAGGAAAGAGGGCCCAGAGGAAGGACTTATGGGCAATGGCTGGTGGAATGGAAGCATTGGTCCGAGGACTGAAGAGTGTTCACATTACCAAAAGAGATACAGGACATTCTTCATATATTTGGTCGGAACTCGCTATAATCCTTTTTGGTCATGATGATAAGAAACACCGTCATTGGCTGTGGGTTGTATGGACCAACAATCGAAAAGGATTGAGGGATTTGATCAATAAACGTCAAAAATCATTAGAGCAGAAGGAAGTTCAGGTAATGGAGGAAAATCAAAACGAGAGAGATGTTGGAGTGGAATGTTCTGAAGACTGTCTTTCAAAGGACTTGCCTCTGAGCATGATTCAGCATAAGGTATCAGATGAGGACATAGACAAGAATGAGGCAGAAGACAAACAACAAAGGATGTCTTCTCAGAGTGGACTTGAAGATGACCAGTTATCAGATGAGGACATAGACAAGAATGAGGCAGAAGACAAACAACAAAGGATGTCTTCTCAGAGTGGACTTGAAGATGACCAGTTATCAGATGAGGACATAGACAAGAATGAGGCAGAAACTGAAGAACAGAATTTGCAAAGAGGAGCACAAGATGTCAATAAAAACACAGGCACCAAAACACATTGGCGGAAGTTGCCAGTAGTATCTAAAAGGTTCGGAATAACAGTAAATAGAAAGAAATGGCAAAAGATTGTTCCTTTGACGGGTTCAAACAAACTGAGGCAACCGTGGACCGACGTGTTGTACAAGAGTTTCCGAGAGAAAAATCCCTGTTGTACGCTTGCCTTCAAGAGTCACCACATAAAAACTCCCAACAGCAGGAAAATTAAAAGTCCGTACTTAAACATCTGTGCAGTTTGTACATTCCCTTCCTGCAGGGCCAAATTCTTCTTTAAAATCCAAAATCAGCCAGTGGGAGACACCCTTGTTAAAATATCTGTGCTGCAAAGAGGGAAAATGGCACACAAAGCAAATGAGACAAAATTCCGACCAGCAGCAAACAGAAGAAGAGGCAGAATTGCAAGAGCCCTGCATAAAGGAGTGAGTCAAGTATTTTACAGTAAACTTAAAAAAACACCTGTTGCTGAACTGATTTCAGGAAACATAAGCCGTAGTCTGAACAAAAATGTTCTCAAAGTGATACGTTCAGAAGTAAGAAGAGGTAAAAGAATCCATGAGGATGTTTTCATGGAGATGTACCTCACACAAATGATCATTAAGGAATGTGACTCAAATTATCGCAGGATGCCTGGGTACATACAGCATTTTCAAGTTGACCCATTTGGAGTACATATGTATTCTGAAACCGGAGTAAACATAGTTGTGCAACACCTGAGAAAGAAGAAACCGCTGACCCTATATCTAGATGCTACAGGTAATGTTGCATCCAAAGTTCCAGGTCAGACCAAAAGAGTGCTTTATTACTGCCTCACTCTTCCTGGAGGTGGTCAGCAAGTACCTCCCCTCCCAGTCTGTGAAATGCTGACAAATGAACACTCCATTCCACCAATCACATTCTGGCTAATGCAGTTCCTCCGCAAACTGTCACAGTACACTAAAATAAAAGTACATCAGGTAGAAACAGACTACAGCTGGGCCCTGCTCCAAAGTGTTCTCCTTTCTTTTAACAAAGAGAGCATTGTCAGTTACTTGGACAGGGCTTTCGCTATCTGTTCAAAGCTGAAGTCATGGAAGGAAATCAAAATGTTGACAGTGCTACACATTTGCTCTGCACACGTGCTGAAAGCTGTAGCTCAGTCAATTGGGAGAAGGACTGCAGACAAGGGTTTGAAGGACTTTGCAACATTTGCATTTGCGAGGTTGCAAAATGCTACTTCAATGACCACAGCACTACACATCTTCCGCTCACTGTGCACTGTGTTGATTGGAAAGCACAATTCCAATGCTGTCCTGATCCATCTGAAAGCCATGAAGGACTTCATAAAAGAATGCAGGATTCCCAACATGGAAGAGGGGGACAAGTTAGGAGACAGTCCCTTAACTCAGGAGGAAGATGATGAAGAAAGAAGAAATGCCCACACAATTGTTGGCAGATCTCCCTTCACATATGAGTTTAGGAAGGTCATGGAGGAGGTACAGGGAGAGCTTGAAAAAGAGGAGGTCGAAACCCCACAGGATGAAAATCCATACTTTTGCCCTGGCATTGTTGATGTCCTTTTTGACAACTATCTAGGGATTTTTCCCCTTTGGAGTGGGCTGCTGTTGGGGAATTTGAAAAGATATGCAACTGACACAGAGGAAGACACATTTGGCCAAAGTAAAACAAGGGACACAAACTGCCATGTGGAGAGATGGTTTGGAATAGTCAAACATTCTATTCTAAAAAAGCAGAGACGACTGAGGCCAGCGACATTCATCAGAAAGATGTATGGCTCTCTCCAGGGGAGGTACAGAGAACACATAATGGCACATCACTTATCTGAGCAGTTACTCCTCAAAACTTTGCTACCAAAAGACATCAGTCAATCGAAGGAAGGTTGGGCAAAGAGAGATGGAGCAAAGCCTCGCACTTCCAGCTCCAAATATTACACCACTCCAGACATTCTTCCAGTTCCAAAAAGAGCAAAGTTAACTCTGAACACTGGTGAAGATATTCAGAGCAGCACAGATGTGGAGAACAGCAGCAACCCCACAAGTAAAGGGTCCAAGCCTGCAACAGAGGTATTGTTTTGCTATATTAAAATGTATGCTTTAAAAAGAGTAACAAAGTAAGCAATTCTTCGAGCTATAAAAACAACGTTAAGAATGCATTAAAAACGTTTTAGCATGAGGCAATCTTTCTGTCATAGAAAACGTAGAAAATCGAAATGCCGAAATCTCGAATGCTGTACGAAGTTATTATGATACCATTGTTCATTTCATTTTAGGTTGATGCCCTTTGGACATGCAAACCAACTGAAGTTGTTGTGGCTGTTGTAAGACATGCTGAAGAGAAGCATAATTTCACCCTGAGGCACAGAGAATTTCAGAGTTTGAGACCTGACGAACTCATCATAGGCGAGGCAAGTATTTATTAAAACTTATGCTGTACCGGACTGCTCATCTCACGTAAGCCATATGTTAATGATTCAATTGTTGACAAAAAGTATGTAAATGATATCCAAGTAAATTGTTAGGCCAGTCCACCTGGAGTGTGACTTTAAATAGACCAGTTTTAATTTATCCATTCTAAAATGATCTGACAATGATGTGATTAAAACCGACTTTGGCCTCTATATTAGCTGGCATTTTGTATGACTATTTCCCCTACAATTTATCCAAAAGGTAATGGAATGTTACATTAGAGGCATCCTCAACCTGAAGGATAATGCTGGTCGTCTATATCTCCTGGATCACTACACCATGGGTGTAATCCTACACGGCACCCGAGAGCAGATAGCCAGGCAAGAGCTAAAAAAGGTGAGTGAAACTGATTATTCAAAGTATTTTCATCCCTTTAGTATTGTAGGCTTGAGAAAGGAGACAGATATGTGTCTACAGGCAACTTCCAGCGTTATTATATGTATGTCGTTTTTGGAGACATTTGTTTTGTTTTTAACCAATACATTTATAATCTAAGCTTCCCTTTTTTTCTTGTTCCTGTTGAGAAAAATAAAAAATGAATACTGTGTAAATTAAATTATTGTTTTGCACCTGTATATTATAGAAAATAACACTTATGTTTACATGTTCCCTAATTTTTTCAGGTGACATTTGATCTCTATGATGGAGCCATTGGATTTGTCAATATAAGAAATGTGCACTGGAAGTTTGTGGTGAGTATACAGCTACTCGTGTAGTCATACTGTAGCTGCTTTTAGAGTTTGCACATTTCAAGTTCATCAACTATTACTTTGAAGATGTATGATTACATTTATTCAAATGCATACAACTAAATATACATTGCTATTAAAACATATTGCAATACATTACTCATATACTGTGACAGAGTTAAGACTAACATGTGTATCTCATGCAGCCCCATTTTGTAAATGCATCTTTGCCTCAGGACTGATTTAAAAATGCTTCTTTTAGTTTTAATGTCTTCACGTTCATCTATATCATAGGGAAACCATATAACATGTAGTCCAAAATAAGTACTCATTCAAATATTTCTCATTGGTGGTCGCTACTCCTCCGCTAAAGATTTGAGTCTTCTGACCCCAAATTGTGCAACTTTCTTTCATCTGATATCTTTAATTATTTCAATACTTTTAAGTCTTAATTATACCCATTTAAAATGGGTAGTTATTATTTTAGTATTACTTAGCTTTTTTAACAGTTGAAGTGATTTTAATAACTGTGGTTTTCATTTTTGAAGAAAAGCTGATACATTATTGTTGCTGCTGACATATTGAAAAAGGTTTGGTTTAATTATACCGTATGCTACTTTTTAAAACAGTACCTCCATGCCCTTTCAAACCACATTTATGTGGTTGATCCTCTGCAAGGGTCAAATGAAGTTGAGGACTCCAGAAAGGCTGCTTACAAATTTGGGTAATATAAAATATATTACAGGAAATACATTGGTTAAACGCACATTTGGTAAAGGCAAAGAGTAAGCGCCAATTACATTTTTTTCCTATTGTTCTATAGAGTATTTCAAGATGCGCCGGAACAGACTGGGAAAAGAGGACTGGGTTAGCATCAAATGGCAGCCTGGAAAGATAACCCACACCTTCCAGAAAGATGCCACCAGTTGTGGAGCCTTTGTCATGCAGGTGATTCAATGCAACATGTTGTGTTCATTAATAATAAAGCATTTTATTTTAAAGGGAAATTCAAAAACACGTCATAACGTCATGTTATTTTACCATCTGTCCAGATGGCCAAGATGACAGTGAAGGAATTTCCCAAAATTCCAAAGACGTTTCACATCAAGTCATCACAACATCTACGAAGAGACATGGCAGAAGAAATTCTCAGAGGATCAGGTATTAGCCAAAAATATGAAATGAATATATGGACGGCTTCCTGTAAATTGAACAGTAATACACCGGTTATTTTTTCAGTTTCAAAGGATGACTTCTGTTCCTTCTGTGGAATTGAGGACCTGCCCACAACTGCTGTTGATGCTGTTTGGGCGAGACTAAATGATGATTTTTTTTTAAACTCCAGAAGATAATCTGAATAATAGATAATATATAGATCATCTGGAGTTAGATTTCAGGAATAACATAAAAGTAATGACATTTTGTATATTTGTATGCATTACAGGTTTCCTTTTGTTTTTCTTATAATTTGTTAAAGTTTTAGCACAGTACAGATAAACCTGAATAACAACAAATATTTATATATACTGTATATAAAAAAAAGTATAATCTCTTTAAAATATAAATGAATATGCCTGCTTTACAAGTGTCCTACACTTTACATTTTCTTAATATCTTTGTTGTATTTGTCCCCATGTAGATTCAGTGTGAAACTTGTGGGAGATGGTTTCACACGCAGTGCCTCGGAATGCCTGCTGCACGAATACCCAAAAAGAATACCCCGTGGTATTGTGTTTTGTGTATCCTCACAAACTAAAGAGGCTAGAGGTGAGTTTGTGTAACTTTTACCAGAGGTACCAGGATTTGGGGAGGTAAGGCTTGTAGTTTGAACTACTACCACAGTAGAAGTAGTGCACTTACAAACGGCATGTGGGGGGAAATCCAGCCCAGCCAGTGATTTGAAATCGGCTAAATGAAAGCTGAATTTTGTACAAAACAAATAAAAATCCAGAAAAAAGCTTTGCTAAAGATTTTGGGCAACTGAAGTAATGATTAATATGTTACGGTGTGTGAAGCAGGTAGGACCCAAATGCAGATTAACGTGAAAATTCCTTTATTTCAAGGCTAGGATATAAACAAAGACAAAACAGAACACTGACCGACGAACTAGTCATGACACAAGACAAAACGACAAAGACAGACAGAAAAACCAGAACTTAAATACACACAAGACTAATCACACAAACAAGACACAGGTGAGGAGGGAGGAGAAAACACAGGGACACCAGGTGAACACAATCGGGTAATCAGACACACCAGGGAAACTAACGACAGGGAACCACAGACAGATCTAAATAGGACAAAACACAACGCAGACAGAAAACCAAAGATAGATCTAGACAAGACAAAACACCATAAAGACAGATCGTGACATAATAATCACCTGTCCATAGTTTTAACTTGTTATATTCTTAATTAAGATGTTAAATATATTTTCAATTACAGATTAAAGTAGTCACAGATGTTCATGATGTTTTCCATGTCTGACATTAGATTGTGGATTTGTTCATTAATATTGTACAGTAAGATAGGTGAAAAGCCTGACATTTTTTATTTTTCAATGTTAACTTTATTTTGTCTGTTCCATCATTCACCAGTAGTTTTCCATTCACCTGTCTCACCTGTTAACCACACCCACGTTTTTGCTCACTGTCTTTCTCTTCTGCACCCATTAGCTTTACTACCAGTATTTAAACCCTCACCAGACACACACCCGTTGCCAGATCGTACTTTGCCTTCATGCTAGTCTTTCACGCGTGTGTTACTAGATTGCCTACCCGGTTCCGACCCTGCCTGTCCCCGACCTGCCTGCTCTGCCTGCTCTGCCTGATCCCTGATCCTGCCTGTACCTCCGTTGACCGCCTCGCCTGCTCCCTGACCCTCTGCCCGGCCCTGACTCACCTTCTGCCCGCTGTCCTCTGGTTCGTTTGCCTGCCCATCATCCGGCTGATACTGTTCTGTTATCCCTCTGCTCTGGTATTATTACAAATAAAGTTCATTACCAATACTCCTTGGTTTGGTTTCTCGAGTGCTGCATTTGGATCGTTCATAAGATTGTGACCATTTTACTGTTTCATAGCTAATGAAAAAGTTGTTTCATGTCTTAATTTATATATAACATACTGTAGCCTATATACAATGTGTAACATTGTATATAGGCTACAGTATGTTATAATACATTATAAATCTTCCCCAAAATTATTCCAAAGCAGATTCTTCCAAACTCTCTGCTGTAGTCCAACCACCAGGAGACTATTGATGTGTGTAGTGAGTTTGGGAGACATATACTGTATAATAGTGACGCTATTGAAGATTATACCATATTTATTGAAGATTTTACACCATAAATATTCACCAAAATTATTCAAAAGCACATTCTTCCAAACTCTTTGCTGTAGTCCAACCACCAGGAGACTATTGATGTGTGTAGTGAGTTTGGGAGACATATACTGTATAATAGTGACGCTATTGAAGATTATACCATATTTATTGAAGATTTTACACTATAAATATTCACCAAAATTATTCAAAAGCAAATTCTTCCAAACTCTCTTCTGTAGTCCAACCACCAGGAGACTATTGATGTGTGTAGTGAGTTTGGGAGACATATACTGTATAATAGTGACGCTATTGAAGATTATACCATATTTATGGAAGATTTGACACTATAGGTATTCACCAAAATTATTCAAAAGCAAATTCTTCCAAACTCTCTTCTGTAGTCCAACCACCAGGAGACTATTGATGTGTGTAGTGAGTTTGGGAGACATATACTGTATAATAATGACGCTATTGAAGATTATACCATATTTATGGAAGATTTGACACTATAAATATTCACCAAAATTATTCAAAAGCACATTCTTCCAAACTCTCTTCTGTAGTCCAACCACCGGGAGACTATTGATGTGTGTAGTGAGTTTGGGAGACATATACTGTATAATAGTGACGCTATTGAAGATTATACCATATTTATGGAAGATTTGACACTATAAATATTCACCAAAATTATTCAAAAGCACATTCTTCCAAACTCTCTTCTGTAGTCCAACCACCAGGAGACTATTGATGTGTGTAGTGAGTTTGGGAGACATATACTGTATAATAGTGACGCTATTGAAGATTATACCATATTTATGGAAGATTTTACACTATAAATATTCACCAAAATTATTCAAAAGCAAATTCTTCCAAACTCTCTTCTGTAGTCCAACCACCGGGAGACTATTGATGTGTGTAGTGAGTTTGGGAGACATATACTGTATAATAGTGACGCTATTGAAGATTATACCATATTTATGGAAGATTTGACACTATAAATATTCACCAAAATTATTCAAAAGCACATTCTTCCAAACTCTCTTCTGTAGTCCAACCACCAGGAGACTATTGATGTGTGTAGTGAGTGTGGGAGACATATACTGTATAATAGTGACGCTATCGAAGATTATACCATATTTATTGAAGATTTTACACTATAAATATTCACCAAAATTATTCAAAAGCAAATTCTTCCAAACTCTCTTCTGTAGTCCAACCACCAGGAGACTATTGATGTGTGTAGTGAGTTTGGTAGCACTCCACTGTATAATAGTGACGCTATTGAAGATTATACCATATTTATTGAAGATTTTACACCATAAATATTCACCAAAATTATTCAAAAGCACATTCTTCCAAACTCTTTGCTGTAGTCCAACCACCAGGAGACTATTGATGTGTGTAGTGAGTTTGGGAGACATATACTGTATAATAGTGACGCTATTGAAGATTATACCATATTTATTGAAGATTTTACACTATAAATATTCACCAAAATTATTCAAAAGCAAATTCTTCCAAACTCTCTTCTGTAGTCCAACCACCGGGAGACTATTGATGTGTGTAGTGAGTTTGGGAGACATATACTGTATAATAGTGACGCTATTGAAGATTATACCATATTTATGGAAGATTTGACACTATAAATATTCACCAAAATTATTCAAAAGCACATTCTTCCAAACTCTTTGCTGTAGTCCAACCACCAGGAGACTATTGATGTGTGTAGTGAGTTTGGGAGACATATACTGTATAATAGTGACGCTATTGAAGATTATACCATATTTATTGAAGATTTTACACTATAAATATTCACCAAAATTATTCAAATTATTCCAAAGCACATTCTTTCAAACTCTCTGCTGTAGTCCAACCACCAGGAGACTATTGATGTGTGTAGTGAGTTTGGTAGAAATATACTGTATAATAGTGACGTTATTGAATATTATTGTATTTTCTTTTTTCGGAGTTGCACTTTGCAGACGGTCCCTGAGCACTTGTTTCATCTCCGGCTGCTGAAAGAGACCAATTTAATGTGTCCAGCTCGGAGGACGGCGCATATTGTTTTTTTTTTATCAACATATGATTGTAGTTCGTTGTCAACCTTACCACGGTACATAGGAGACATCATTTGTGTGTGAATAACGTTTTGTTCATGAGTTATTGATCCGTGAAATCCGAATCTGCCAATATCGTTCTAACTTTACTCAACTACGCATCGACATGTGAGGGAAGGAGGCTTGACCGCTTTCGGGTGACAGTGTTGCCTGCCAGGGAAAAAACCCTATCACTCGGGGTGCCTGTGGCTGGAATAGCTCCTCGAAAGCTTGGCTAAACGGGGGACGCGGTGCACGTTTTCTGCCCACCACTCCAGTGGGTTATCCATTGTGGGGATATGCGGTGTCCGCTGGCAGTAAACCCTAGCTAATAATCCGCATCACTGTTGACCCGTTTTTTCTTGCTGCTCGTCTGCCTCTGTCCTGTGCTGACGCCGGTCCGTTGCTCACTGGTGTTAGCATTACTGCTAGTGCTAGCTGTCGGCAGCGGGTGTCTCATCTTCAGATGGTTGCGCATAGCAGATGTATTTTTGTTGTACTTCAGTACAGCTGTACACAACTGACACTTCACTGTGGAGTTGGTTACATCTTTGTTGAAGTACTGCCATACATAAGAATGTCGGACGTGTTTTGAAGCATTTTGCAGCACCTCGTTTACCTAAAAAAAATTCACGACTAATCGACTAGGGCCTACAGCGCCGATTAGTGGTAAAGGTAGTCGACTAGTCGACTAGTCGATTAGTTGGTGAAACCCCTAGTGCACACAAAAACATAACTTGGAGAAATAAATAAATACAGATATGTTATTTAAAACCACCTCGAATATGTTGTGTTAATATTATGAAATGTTTTCTCATAAATGATGCGGTAAGCAGGAGGACAGAATTAGCCTACGTCTAAACTGACGCCGTTTTGCATTTCTATAGGTTGTAGATACGAGCATGGTTTTATATAGGCTACTATCACGTTTAATCGTTGTGATGAAAACTTCTGTGCAGCAATGCAGAGGAAATGATGGAAGCTGGATCGTCTTTAGTCAAACACTGAAGTTTATTAAGAGTAGAATACAGCCGGAGAGTTCACAAGGTAAATCCACACTTTCATGCGAGCAACCAAATCAACTCTGAGGACAAAGGACGACAGAAACACAGATCTATACATGAAATGAGGAGGGACCTATATTCCCGCCTTTCCCCTAACCATTACCAGACATCGGAACAAAGGCACCTTTGTATTGCAACTCCTCATGTGCCCAAACCCCTCACCCCCACAGGAAGTCAGAGGACCTCTTGACCTGTGTCCTCCTGAGGTTACACGCAGGATCACATGCGACTCAACAAAAGCACACGTCTGCTAAGCAACAGTTTATAAGAAAGACTGAGAACCTCTAAACACACAGATCGGATTAAAATATTCTCTGACAGTTTCACTCTTTTTATCAATTTATGATAACCAATTAACATTAGTCTAAGAATATTTCAGTCAATACTTAAATCAATAAGCGTCTTCAGAGTTGTGTGGGCTCACATACATCAATTACATCAAAAGTAAAACAAGATTGAAAACATTTCAATCACCATGATTGAACACAGTCAATCATAATAGAAAAATCATCTCTCTTCAGTGTTTGGCATCATTTGTCAAAAGCACAATAATAAACACACATGAAATACAAAAATATAATAGCAAAATATATGTTTCAAAAATAAGATCTTTTATCATTTATCATTCAGTTAATCTCATTCATCAAACACAAATTCAAAATCAGCTTACATCTCAAAGATTTACTTCAAGGCAATTACTTATTAAAACACAATTATAATTTAGGATTATAAGAAATCCAATTGAGGTATAAAATCAGAATCATGAGAGATCCAGCTAAAATTCCCAGTTAAGGTATAAATTCACAGTGATTAATCGATCAATCTGTAATCTGTAAAGTTACAGTGTCCTCAATCTTTAACATTACTTTACGTTTACTTCATTACGCTTTATTCAAGAGTAAGGCACTTAGTAGTACATATATTTCATTCAAATACATTTGTTCAAAATCTGAAAAGGAAGAATCAGACATTTATTGTATAACAACCTGAAAAGGAAAAATCAAAACATCTGTTCTTTATTCTGAGTGCCAACTGTAATCAATATCAAAACATCTGTTCTTTATTCAGAGTGTCAACTGTAATCAATTTGTCAATCGCTGAATGGGGGTACCCATGGGGCAGAAACCGCGATGGAGACCCATGAGTCTAGAAGCTCAGCGTCATACATCAACATTGTGTCATCTACAGTTGAATACCCCACTAGCCTCTGTGGGGCCTGGAGGGCGGTCTTGGCAACCCTTCGTATGGCTAATTTAACTACAGTGATCAAACAGATCACTAGGATTAGCACAACCAAGATAAACACTGAAACAGTAACAACAAATGTAACCAACCCCGCTCCCCAGGATCCAAAGGTTCCACTTAAATCCCCAAATGTAAACCCATGAGTTTCATGCCATTCTTTTATTCCCCTAGCAGTATCATGAGCCATGTCCATAACTTCAGGTGTAGCATCAGAGATGAAAGAACAACACTCAGATCCAGTCACCTTGCATGTGCCCCCCTGAGTAGCTAGGAGAAGATCC